CACCCTTTCTTCTGCTCCACACCATGGTGTCGTGTATCATTCTACACTTAAGTAGATAATTTGCTTCAAGAAATTCTGTGGGACTAGGAAAACGTTCAGTAATATTCAAGAGTTTCTTGATAACATACAACAGCACAAACTTAATTGGTTACCAAGCAATTTTCTAGTAAAATGCTAAGAGTGTACCCTTTGGAGCGCACCCCCGGCATACGGCAGTAACGGCAGCCGCACCGCACAGTAGGAGGGTGGGGGTGGTCGAGGTCACCATGGTGACGTCGAGGTAGTGAGGGCAGCGCAGGCCCAGGTGCTGCGGGTGCGAGCCGCGCTCATGGCGGCCAAGAAGGGCGGGGCGGTCGCTCTTCAGCAGGACGTGGTTACAGACGAGGAATGGGAGGTGCTTCTCCGCCGTCCTGGACTGCTTCTGGTGGACGTGTACTCCGAGTGGTGCGGCCCCTGCGTCGGAATGCTGGCCAATCTCAAAAAGATCAAGGTGTCGTACGCTACTTTATCACAACACGAACATAGATGTAGAATGTAGTACCTGTGTGCAAGTGTTGTAAGTTAGTGCTAAGACTTAGCGCCCATAGAACGTTAAAACTAGCGGCCGAACTCTGGCCAAGTTAGGAGCGCAAGCACGCAGAGACGAGTAAGTCCTGCGACTCAAGTACGTCGCACGTCTGCATTCGGTGCACTGTGAACTGCGAATGTATGGGTGGGTGAGGCGAGGCGTCCACCATGTAGCTTAGCGTTTGTTTAAGTCTGTAATTACCAATCAAGTTCATAGTTTCTGTGCATTGAAGAGATTAATCTGGTCTTGGTTGTTCCCGTAGGTTGAGCTGGGCGGGGACCTCCTGGTGCTGGCCACGGCCAAGTCCGACACCATCGAGGCCCTCCTGCGCCACCGCAACCACTCGGAGCCCGTCTGGATGCTCATCTCTGGGGGAAGGCTCATCAACCTAATCTTTGGGGCGGATGCTCCGCGCATTGCGCGCCTAATCGCCACGGAACTGGACAATGAAGTAAAGGTGAGTGAATGCAGGAGTTTGCGGACCATGGCCACCACCGCGGACACCAAGCAACAGGTGTTTTGGTGCTAAGATCTCGTAACCCACATCGCTTCAGAACGTTGATCACTCAGCACCCGAATGACCTCCTTCACGGCCTCCCTTCCCGAGGCCACCACCACCGCCACTGCCACCCTCCCTCTCCCGTCAGCCGGAGTGCAGTGCACTGGCTGCAGGGCTCCAATGTGACTGACTACTGTCTGGAGCCGGAGCGAGCGCGGACATCAGTCTGTGTTTGCCTCGCTCGTGACGCACTCCCCGCACATCACACTTCCCTCCCCTTGCCACTGTGAGCGTGAGCCCTTTCCCTAAACATGAGAGCTCACAAGTCAGCGCCGAGACCATCTATCTAATCTCTGTACCCCCGGCCCCTCGGCCCCTCGGCCCTTCGGCCCCCCACTCTACCCCTGCAGCTGCAGAAGGGCGACGAGTGCGCCCGCCACTACATGTCCTGGGACGAGCTGACCCCGGAGGAGGAGGCGCGGCTGCAGCGCGCCGAGCAGAAGCGCCTCCAGGCGCTGCGGGAGGAGGAGGAGCGCCGCGCCCGCGCGCAGCACCAGCAGCGCGTCGACAACTACACCAAGCTCGCCCTCAAGCTCAACAGGTGAGCGGCGGCGCCGGCGGCCCTCGGGTCATGGTCACGGCCCTGCACAACATCCCTCTCAGTCCCTCTCCTCCCTCAGGTTCTCGGTGGTGCTGCTGCTGCCGCACGCCGTGCCGCCGGCCGGCGCGGAGCCCGACGCCGACGCGGACCCCGGCGTACTCGGGCCGCTGCGGAACGCTTGGGCGGCGCTGGGCCTCGAGGAGCGCCGGCGCCAGAGCATCGCCGTGTCGGCGGACATGGCCAACGACGTGTTCTTCGAGCGCAAGCTGCCGCAGCACGAGGAGCTGCTCAAGGCCATGGCCAGCGGGCCGTGCCTCGCCATCCTGCTGCACAAGCCGCCCACGGTGAGCGCGCGCCGAGCGAGCACGAGCGCTAAACGGGCGAGGCTGATGTGGTGCTGTCCCCGCAGGAAGTGGAGGTGTTCCCCGACGTGGAGGGCGGCGACGCGGAGGGCGCAGAGCCAGCCGAGGGCGAGGATGCCGCGCAGCCACCGGAGGCCGATCAGGAGGCTCCGGGCGGCGAGGACGCCCCGCCGGATGACCCGGACGCCGAGGCGGCCGGCGCGCAGCCCCAGCCGCAGCGAATCCTGGTGGAGCCCGAGCTGGGCGAGATCGAAGCCCTGGCGGCCCAGTCGCTGTACGGCTTCTACCCGGCGCAGGAGTCCGCCTCGGGCCAGCCCCCGCAACAGCAACAGGAGCAGCAGGACCAGGACCAGGACCAGGCACCGCCTCCCGCGCCACCGCAGGACACCGGCGACGCGGCCCAGGTGAGAGATCTTACAGAAAGTACGCCCGTCTTTAGCCGTTACGAAAACTGCGCTTTAGCCTACGCATCCCATTGAGCGCCTGGTAGGTAGGCAACATCTTGCTTGCTCTGCATGGGTGTTCCGCGGGGTGGCCTACTCTGACTCTCGCAGGCGCTGAGCCCCCGTTTTGTTTGACTAAATGAATCGGGGGGAAACGGACGTACTTTTTCTGCACGATCCCCTAGAAGGGAAGGGGCCTCCGTGGTGTGCGTCGTGGTGTGAGAGAGTGGCTCGCTTGTGGTCGCAGTGGACGCGCTTCCAGCCCGCGGCCGACAGCCCCGCCGCGGCCTGCCTCCGCTCCGGCTCTGGCCCCGCGCTGCCCGGCCTGTGGACGCCCCTCACCCCCATCACCAAGGCCGCCACCATGCAGACCCTGTTCCCAGACGACACGGACCTGCTGACAAGGCCGCCGCCCCCGCCCTCGCTGCTGCCACCCTCCCTGGTGCACGTGTTTCCCAGCGCTCGCTGCAAGGACGTCATGGCGGCCGCGGCTCTGCACGACGGCGCGGTGGTAAGCGCTCCTACCGACTACTGTATGACGGGCGTCTTGGCTCCGGCCTCGAGTTCATCGCTTTTCTTTTTGTAGACGGGGAGCGGCTTCTTCTCGGAGCAGCGCGAGGCCCTGGCGGTGGATGAGGCCGAGTTCGAGGCGCTCCAGAGGGAGAAAGAGGGCACTGACGTCTTTGTAGTGGCCGTCAGCGTGGAGGCCGTGGCCGCCGCCGACGCCCTGGCCGCCTTGCAGCCCTTGGCTGTCAGCGCCTCGCCAGAAGAGGGTCTTGCCGACTGCGACGCGTACTTCCCCGGACCGACCCAAGAGGACGAAGACGAGGAGGACATAGATGATGCCAATCTCCTTGGGTAGAGACTGTTGCTGAGGATTCGTGTCTGTCTGTTTGTCCGTCTGTCTAGACGGGATTATTTTAAATTAAATGAACACATTCAACGAGGTGGTAAAAGCGTGTTTTATTACCCACTTCAGACAGGAAGAAGTTTCCTCCCGCCATCTCATTCGTTTACAATGCTATGTTTTAATACTTTTGCAGTCCATTTGTGTAGCATACAGCGCTTTCCATTTCCTTTGAGGAACAAAATCGTTACAATCATTTCTGAAAATACTTTCACAACAACGTCAAAAAAATACGTTCAATTTTAATACACCTGACCGGCAGGGTAGAAAAAATACCGACGAGACGTTCCTCATTCGAGACTTAACATCTAAATCGACCCGATGTCATCAGACTTGGCTAGTTTCATTTGGTTTGCACCAGTAAATCATTTTAAAGAAAGTTTGTGCCAACACATGTGCGTTAAACATACAACCGCTTTAAGGTATCCCCACAATGTACGTTTCCCGAGGTGACGCTAATGATTGCGCCTGCCTCGCGCTAGGTAGGCCAACCCGCCAGACAGCAGCGTTAAGTAGGTGGCCTGCCCAGAGCGCCCAAGTGCGGAAAAGTTCGGGTTCAGGCAGGAGAACGTCCAATGCTTAACTTTCCCTCGTCGCGCCTCGGAGGACGTCGATTGTGGGTACACCTTAACTCCATCCAAACTTGTACCCACAATGGTTAATCTTTGGGTTAATTCATTAAGTAATTTGGGCTCTCTGGTAGATACTACATAAACAAATACAGCTAATCAATTTTACTTGTAAGTACTGTGCTACCAAGCTATCTCCGCAACGTAGAGCGGATAAGACGCAATTTGAGGACCGTCTTTTGAGTTTGCCACTCCGAATTCTTCGTTTAGCTGGAGTCGCTGCGTTGTCCGTTTGTTTTTAGAAAGTACTAGCAACACAACTTAATCGTTCACTACAAAAGCGAATTTCGCTTGCTTCAGAGGTATCCGTTGCGTCGTACGTCAAGGACGAAATGCGAGACGCAATAGTTTAAGGTATGGCATGTCCTCGCTACACGAGGGTGGCCCCCATGGAGGAGGACGAGGCGCCGTTGCACGCCGATACTCTGCACCGGGGGATGGCGCCGGCGACCTGCAGGGTCGGCACAGCCGAAGGCACAGCCTGGTAGTGAGACTCGCTGGACACTCGGGCGAGACACTCTCGAGACTCACTCACCTCGCAGACCGTGTTGGCGCGGGCGATGAGGTGGCGGGCTGGCGTCCTGGCGGCCAGCTCCCTGGAGCCCCTGCGCGGCCCCGCCCCGACGCCCACCAGCGCCCCCGCGCCCGCCAGCGCCCCCGCGGCCAGCCCGCGCTTCTGCCACCGGAACTCCACGGAGCACTGGTCGTACTCGTACCTGCCGGGCAGGGGGGTAGAGTCCGATCAGGGTACAATAACTTTGAGGAAGTCTCATATATGCGAGGGAAGATTCCTCAGATTTTGGGATTTTCCCTTTAATTTTTTGAGGAGACTTTCTCAAAATCTGAGGAGTTTTTCTTATGCGGGTTTCTCAAAGTTTTCCCTTTTTCCTCAAATAAAAATCAGACACTGCTTTTACCTTGAAGCGAGCCTCTTTGTATGAGGAAGCTGCTTCATAAGAGGAACAAAAAGAAGGTAGCACTGAGGAGATGGCGTGGCGTAGCGCCGTTCTCAGAGAAAGCAGAACGGAGGCGACCATAATTTTGCCGCGAGTGGATGTGTGATCATAAACCAAGTTTTGTACAATTTTGCAAAACAAATCGTGTCTACATTATATCGGAATAGCATTCTTGTGTCAATAAGTGGTCTGTAAAGTTTGGCTTCGTAATAGTAAGTTTACACAAATTTCTACACCACCCCGGTGGTGTCGTTGACTAGACTAGTGTACGGACATGTTGCATTGGTGCAATTTGAACTCAATGATAATAGCTCAACTGTCGTAATAAACCTTGGCAAAGGTGGCACCAAGATGCTAGATGCATAAGGCTTGTTCTAAACAGTGTAAAATCTAACGATATGCAACCTAACCTCTGCTCGGCTGTCGCGCATCTTCTGCTTTCTTAAGAGACGGCGCTACGGCACGCCACCTCCCCAGCTTCTTGTTCCTCTTATGAAGCACCTTCCTCATAGGATTGCTTCATCTTACTGAGCAATTGTGAAGTGCTGTGTTTACAACTAACTTACTTGTTCGACAGGCAGCAGGTGTGGTTGGAGAGGATGGTCATGAAGCCGGCACGGAACTTGCGGTTGAAGTAGGCGTAGAAGATGGGGTTGACGCACGAGTTGGAGGTGCCGAGCCACTGGGCGAAGGGGCGCAGCACGGCCATCACCTCGCGCTCCAGCTCGCTGGGCGCGGACGGCCCGAAGCGCTCGCGGGACACCATCACGTACAGCGGCATCCAGGACAGCGCGAACGACACCACCACCACGAGCAGCATCTTGACGGCCTTCATCTTGGAGCGGTGCAGCATCAACTGGCCGCCGAGCTGCGGACACGGTCCAGGTGCGTTAATACGGCTTCGTATGAATCCCCCGCCACCATATACCCCGCCGCCGCAGCATCCCGGCGGCCCTGACACTGACGGACACTGATCTAGGGCCGTCGCCGGGCCCTTTAGTAAGACTGGCGCCTGACAGTGGAGGGGTTGGGGCGTAATGGAGGAAAATGTGCACTCTTCAGGACACGGAACGCAGGCGGGAGGTGGAGGTCGGGGGCAGGGAGAGGGGGAGGGGGTACCAGAGACGGGAGGGATGTTTACTTATCGCCTGATCAGCCCTTAGCTTGGCCCCCCTCCGCCACGCCCCGCCGCTGTCACGAGTAGTAAAGAGAAACTTCCACGCGTTACGCCTTTCCCCGGGCGAGGGAAAAGGATCCACGCGGTGGGTGAGGAAGAGGGGGGGGGCACCGACTATGGGGTGTTTGCGCTCCACGGCGGGGGCGTTGCCTCTCGGGGACCGTGGCGTGGCGTAGCGTAGCGCGGAGTCGCTTCATGACTTGAGGAGGGTCCTGGACCGCGTCGCTTTCCTCATTTCAATAACACCCCCCCCCCCCTCCCTTACCCCGGATCCTCCTGCTGCGCTTTTTCCTGCTGCTTATGAAGGAGCTGGCAGGGCGCCTCGCCCCCCCGGGCCATATAGGATAGGCCTCGGCCAGGGCGAGGACACGCGCCTCATAGCCTCGAGGCGGGGCGGGAAGGACAAGAGGCGATTCCTCCGCAAGTGACCTTCCGAAGTTGATAATCTAGTTGCGAGCTGAGATGGGACGGGCGTGACGGGACGGGACGGAACAGGGCAGGACGCGGGCACTGCGCTCACGGAGCGACGGCCGACGGTCTCGGCTACAGGACAGCCACCCGACCCCCGAGCAGGCAGCCCGGGGCGCAGCTGGTCAACGGTCAGCTCGGGGGTCACCAACCGGCCCTCCCTCTTAACATGGCTCCAGCTATACAAGTTACATGACGTGGGTAGCACTTGTCGTAGTATTTGCACTTAAAATAAAAATAGTGGTTCGGAAAGTGTCGTAATGTTGGTACTTTGAAAGAAGAAAAAAGTTGTGAGTGACACGTGTCTTCAAGATAGCGGGGAGTCGCCCGTGCTCCGTCTGATGTAAGGGAGCCACCATGAGAGCAGGGCGCCCTTCTCTCATGGAGCCACACTCGCAAATGAGAAGGGATCGGCTCGGTCAGTACGGCTGGCCCGAGGGCTGCCCCGCCCTGCCCGCCGCAGTGACCCTCATCCGGTACCGGCACTGGGCACTGGCCTCGGCACTGGCGGTGCGGTGGCGAGCAGCAGCCGACAACAGGGCTGCCCTCGGTGGAGTGACAGCAAGTGTCTTTTGCCGCGGTCTGTCACTGTGGCGCTTCTAACACCGAGATTGAAAAGACTGCACGTGTCTGGGACGCGGCGACTCTGAGTGGCGGCCGAGTGGAAATTCGCATTAGCGTTGGAGGGAGGGTCTCGCTCTGGACCCGGAGATGTGCACTTCATGAGGGGGGGGGGGGCGGTCCGGGGTCAGGGAGGAGGAAGAGTGCGATGGTGGGGTCGCTCACGTCCGCCTGGGATTGCCTGGGCTGAATCACATGCCGGATAATCACTGCAAGGGAGGATGAGGGGGAGGGGTGGCGAGCCGTGCCGTGACTCGCTCGCCGACAAAGTTGGTGAAATGAAATGAAGCTCGTGAGGGGAACGGGCGTTGGGCGGCGAGGGCGAGGGGCACCACCGCCCCGGAGTCCGGCCGTAGTACTCGGGAATCGGTTTCAGGTAACTGAGGTGCGCGGTGGGGAAGGAGGATATGGCGCCGACTGAAACAGGGCATCCACCTCGCGCCTTCCGCGCGCTTGTGTGCGAGTGTGTGTGAGCGCGCAAGGGCGCGTTTACTCCCTGCCCACCTTTCCAACCCCCGCCTTCGGACCGAACTCGTTGATTGTAGCCAAGACCCTACTGAAAATATGATTTGTAAACTCTTGGATTTTAAGGAAGGTACAAGGGGGGATGGGTTTTGTATTATTCCTAAATTTGGTAAAAAACACAAGTATTCTGATCCATATTCAGTAATTGGCAAACAAGTTTTTTTTGTGGCTAAGTTCTAGCTCACCTGTGGTTCGCCGGGCAGTTTGCGCATGCACACCCGCCTCCAGATGAGCGCGTAGCACACGGAGATGCAGGCCAGCGGCAGCAGGTAGCACATGGACAAATGCGCCAGCACGAAGTACAGCGTCTCCCAAAGCTCCGACGGCCAGCCCTCCCAGCAGATCTGCGGGTGGGAGAGAGAGATGGAGGAGGTCAGGTCATCTGTCGACAACCTCTACTTACTCGCCCGGCATTTTGGCCGCCTTAGCCCTAGCCTAGCCATTAACCCTTGGACTTACCAAAATTGGCCAAATTGTATTAAGTGAACATCTATGAAAAATACGTAAACAAATATCTCAAAGTACTGTTAAATTTTGAATTTACAACGTTTCTGTAAATTCTTACTGGAAAAATATAGTAAAAGTTAAGTATTGTTCTTTTTTTAAAAAAAAAAAACACCTTTTGAAGGTATGCAACGCTTTTCCTTTCATCTGCCAATATTATTTTCTATATGTTCCGAGTTTTTGTGCACGAGCGGCTGGGTTGGCAGTTTGAGCGAGCTGGGTGAGGAAGGACGGGAGCAGGCTTAAGCCTCTCTCCATCTCTCTCATCACAAATCACGAAAAAAGTACGTGTGCGCGGCGCGTGGCGCGTGCCGGCGGGTTTGCGTCTCTCTACCTCTCGTCCTGCTTCCCGTCTTTGAGCGGCCCTGTTTGATTCGATTGCGCCTTGATTCCCTCATTCACCGCGTGCACCTCTGCCTCTCCTCTCTCTCCCCCGCCTCCACGTGCGTCGTGACCTTGAACCTCGGCGCCGGGGGGCGCTGCGCGAGCGTCTTGCGCCGCGCGCCTCCAAAGCCCGGGGCAAGGGCCGGGGCCGGGGGCCGGGGTGCCCAGCGCGACGCCCTCCCTCGACATTTTCTTTTGGACGCCGCACGAGGCTCCCGTTCGTTACATTAAGCTTAAGCGGCTCGCGCTCGCTGCGCAGTCACTGGAGACGCGTGTAAGGGGCAGTGGCGTTCGCCCCCCGCCCCCGGACCCGGGACCACGAGGAAGGTCTCGTGGAGGCTCCTCCGACAACAGACGAAGGAGTTGAAACGGAATAACCACTGCGGCGGAGCCCTGCAAAATCACTCAAGCCGGAACGCGAGTTCCTCACCAGGTACTTGCTGCACTTCTCGCCCGCCTCCTCGTCGTACATCTCCGTGGTGAAGACGACGGCCCAGGGCGTGGTGACCAGCAGCGACACGGCCCACACGAAGGCGATGAGCTGGCGGCAGGTCCGCAGGCTGAGCTGGCACTTGAGCGGGTAGCAGATGGCGAGGCAGCGCTCCACGCTGATGCACACGAGCGTGTAGATGGACGCGGACACGGACACGCCCTGGAGGTACGGCAGCGTCCTGCAGATGGCATCCCCGAGCACCCATTCTGCAACAAGGGAGAATTTTTATGTTTACGTGACTTCATCAAATGCGCGGCAGCACTTTTACTTAATTCCGGAAGAGATGAAAGGCTTGTAAAGAGTCACGATTAAATCCCAGCTCCGAATCCCCGCTTTGAGCGCTGTGCGGCGCTGGACTTGTTGAAGGCCAGCAAACCGATAGAACTGCCCCTCGGCCTGCTGCTCTTCCCC